GAGGGAGGCAAATGCAGCTGAGCAAAATTGCAAATGAAGCACGGATTTGAATTTCCTGTGCTTCATTTGCATAATTGTGGACTGCCGCTATTTCGAAATACCCTATTTTGAAATAACAAACGCTGTGTTGGTTACTTTTAAAAAAAAAAAAAACCCTTCTTTAAAAATAAACGTTAAACCTAATTTTTTGAGGAATAAGGGTTATTTTAAAGAAGGGGTTCTACACAGCATTTGTTATTTCGAAATAGGGTATTTTGAAATAGCGGCGGTCCGCGATTATGCAAATGAAGCGTGGATAATTCAAATCCACACTTCATCTGCAATTTTGCTCAACTGCATTTGCATCCCTCTCTTGAAAGAGAATGCAAGTGTAGACATACTCTAAGTCTCCTGCTATTGTACTCTGCTACCATACTTTCACCTTTCACCAAGATCCTCGTCTCACCAACAGAGAGAGGCTGTTCCTCCATGCCCAGGTTCTACAGGGCTGTGTGTGTGAGTATGGTAATTGTAACTGTATACTTAGACTTAAGTGTATGCTTAGGCTTCATTTATGCTACCCTCCAGGGTGATTGACTCCATTTGTGATCTTGGCCATGTGTTTTGTATTGTTTGCAATTTTAATACCAATCATAATAAAAATTGTTTTATTTTGGCACTGCCCTCAGTATAAGTGCAACTGCTGAGGTTCTCCAGATCTGCTTCCAGAAATAGAGCCCCATCGCACGCCACCTCTGTGACTGGGATGGAGGACAAACCTAGAGCTTTATCTAGTCAGATTAGGCGAGCCGGATCCATATCAATCACTTGTTCTTAACCCTGGGCTATGGTGGGAAACAGGCTCATGAACCCTGATAATCTCAGGGATTTGTAGGCTAGGAAGGGACCTCAAGAGGTCACATAGTCCAGATCCCTGTACCCATGGCAGGGTTAAGTCTTAACTAGCCCAAGTGGATGGGAACTTATAGCCCACAGCTGGACCTAGCTCCCCAGCAGAAGCACTGGGCATTTTCTGATTTGCTCCCTGGAAGGAGCACCAGGTGGGTGGAGTGGGGCAAGACCCTGTTCCAGGGCCCTGTTCCCCAGCAGGAGGGGGTAACTGCAGGCAGCAGTGGGGAGGGGACCCCACAGAGCCGTACTCCCCCTCTGTCCAACCACCTGAAAGTTGGGCCCCCACCCAGTTTTCCTGCCTTACTTTTTACTTGTGTGCGGCCTCCATGGATTTTTTTCTGTGGGTTAATGGCCCCTGATAGAAAAAAGGTTCCCCCCTCCCCG